CAAAACCATGAAGGTCCCGGGCAGCATCGCGGGTCAAATACCTAAAGCTATGAGTTTACCGGGCACAAACATGAATGTACCGAGCACAAACATGAATGTACCGGGCACTAATCCCAGATATGGGCTTCTAGCATCCAAATAACGGTAAATTTACCTACAAACAAAGAAAAATATGAGGGATAAGCGCTTACTTGGAAGTAAAGAAGAATGTACGGCAACGGTGAAAGAAATCAACGGAGGAAGAGGCGGTAATCTTGCGAAGTTATAGAAGAACAGCGACGAAAAAGGCAGAGGAAGAAGGAGAAGCGCGAAGAGGAAAAACAAATTATGGGACCTAAGGATCCTATTTATAGGGATGACGTGGAATACGAAACGTCGCTCCAGGGAACCACGAACTCCCCTCCTCGACGCCTACTCCCCTAGGCAATGATGACCCTACTGTCGCTAGGGTGGCGTCACGGTTCCCAAGGGTTGCCTCGTGTGCCCAACGAACACAGCCCGCGAGGAATCCCCCGAGCACACGTCGACGAGGATCACACCACGAACGCAACTCATGAGAAACTTCTCGAGCAATCACGAGGAAGCAAATAGCCTGGGCCGGGCATCGGACCCCGTGGTAAAGGCGAGCTGAAGTCAAGTCATAGCTCCTGCTCCAGAAGCCACGACTTGGGGGGATCCTGTTCTGGGCTGGGCCCGCCCTGGCCCAAAAGCAAAGACAAAGGCCCAATCCAAGTAGCTCCTCGAGGGACGCGCGCCCGCGGATTCCCGCCAGCGCGCCCGACCATAGACCACATTTGTGCCCGCCGTTTCCCGCAATGCATGGTGTCCTCAACCACGGGAACTCCAGCTCGAGCACCCTCCTCGTAGGGCAGATTCTGACCGTTACCAAATCATCTGAACTCCGGAAAGACCGCGTCTTCGTCCCTCCCCATTTCTCGAAGAACATCACCAGGAAGGGGGCCACGTGCGGGTCCCCACTATACACGTAGAACCTGGAAGTTCCTTTGTTGGGCCAAATCTGGTCGGCCCAATGAGGGGACCTTGGCCTCGCGCTGGGGGCTATAAATACCCTCTGTTCCTAGAGGGTCAGGTATTCATCTCTTACGCATACATACACTTTTCCCTGCTCATTCCGTCACTCATTTTAGCATCGAAGTGCCTTGCAGGTACCCCCCCCCCCCCATCTCACTCAAATTCTGCTCGGAGCCAGTCGTGACGGTCCAAGTCTGATCAGGTAAGATCAATACTACATCTAGATCAAGAATTGGTTGTCTTCATTAAGGAGTCGGCAACCATATTTATTTAACACTTAATAAAATTAACCTCAAAGTTTGGAATAAAATCTAACAATCGTTTAAAAGAGAGAAGAATAATACTAAATTCGGAGCTACCGGAAACATTAGAATGTATGCTTGAACCACCACTTGAGAGTTGCTTTTGAAAATCACACAATCCAAGGTTCATAGCAATGACATTATGCGCAACTTCTTTTAAAGTCGTGACTTCAGCTTTTATAGTGGACATCATGCCTAAATCCCAAGCAACACCAGCAGTAATGAATCTTCTTATATTATCGCAAAGACACCAATCCCTATTAGTATTTCGATAATGACTATTGAAACCTGCATCGACATTACATTTCACCCGACCTACGTCTAGAGGTTTCCAAACAAAAGGATTCTGAGTGACATTGTTTATTTCCTGAACCTCACGGACAACGAACCAATCATGTCAATTGAAGTAGGCTTGCAAACCTAGCCTTGTAACATCCTCCCGATCATTATTCCACACAATATTATTTCGATTCTTCCAAAGCACCTCCAACATCATAGCAAATCTCTCAGCATCCCTCATATCTTCTCTACTACAAATGTAAAGGATAAATGATTTAGCATCCCTGAAAGAGTGTAAACGGGAGTCAATGATAGAAAACAAACTTGTCGTCCGCCAACAATGATTAATAGTACTACACCCAAAAAAAGACATGTCAATCCTCTTCATCCTCTACTTCGCACACCTGACAACCCGAAGGACAATGGACATAATATTGTCTGAGTCTAATTTGCGTCCCAAACAATCTCTAAAGATTGTCCAAAAGAGATGTTTGACTCTAGGAGGAGCCATAGTGCTCCACAAGCTATCTCTGTTTCCTTCTATCTTACTATTTGAACGATAAATATGAGAATTCATCCATAATCTATATTTTGTGCACACAGTATAATCACCATTTTTCTCTTCATTTCAATCTAGCTCATCATCTACTACGTCCTCCACCAAAAAAATACTCAAAATCTCATTAACCGATATATGATCAAACAAGGAGTTAATAACTTAAATATCTCATTGTTTAAAATTTGGTAAAATTAAATATTTCACATGAAGATTATACATACCTCCTAAACACCCCCTTTTTGCTCCTACGGAGTCAAGGCTTTTTAAATAAGAATGAATCCATAAAATAATATTTATAAAGAGAATGATGGATAATAAGTGGGTGGGTGAATTGGTTATATAATGGAATTAATAAGAGTAATGGTGTGATTTATTTTTTTAATTATTTAATAGATTAAAAATGAGGGTTATTATAAGAAAATTAAATATTAATTATTATTTTGCATAACTAATGGAGTTAGTGGGCCATTTAGGTGGCTATCGTCTTTTTCAAATATTTATTAACTATAATAGTATTAAAAATGAAATAATAAGATAAAAGTATGTTTATTTATTGGATGAATAAATTAATTAATTATTATTATTATAAATTTTGGTGAGAAATTTTAGTGTGAAGTCTTGTTTTTACTTATTGACACTTCCATCATAGTACTCTTTAACTTTGAACACTCACTTACACCCACAAAGAGAATCTATCTGTTCAAAGATTAGAACTACAATTTTGAGAATATTATTCACACAAACATTATCATCACGAATTTTATTTCTACCTCCGTGTTTAATAAATAATTTAAGTTTCTATAAATATTTATAAAATAAATTTGATTTAAAATTTTAAAATTAAAAACAAATTACTTAAATAAAAGTGTAAAATTATTGATGGTTACTTCTTATTGTCATGAGAATATAAGATTCTTATTCTATTACATAAAAATGAAAAATGAAAAAATCAAGTTTAAGAATAAAAAATTACAAGACATATAAAATAGTGTTCTCAATTATTATTTCTTTTACTATGATATTTTTTTGTTTGCTTTTATATCGGTATCTAGTCTTACGACTGATTAATCTGACAGACGTCTCTTCTGACTATATAGTGGACGATCATACTTATTCCAGACAAGACTCTCGTCTGTGAGGTCTGGTCTGTCAAGATATTATTAACACCACATCGGAATTCAAATTCAAGACTTTCTATAAACAATATTGATTTATATTTATCAAAAGATGTTTTTAATCACCCAAGAATACTTCGACTTGAATGAGATGGTAAAAATCTCTTTCAATTTAATTAAAAATCTTGGATTAATCTCCTAAATTACGCGCAAAAGATACTCAATTTATATTAAAAAAACCTAGTCATTCAAATATTAAGTGTTTGAATATAAGACATAATAATTCTAATACATATTCTCTCTTTTTTTCCGACGTGTGCATTGTTTTGAATCATTGTCTTTCTTTTAAAGTAAATCTTATATCTTACTACATCTTTTTTAATTTCTCAATCGTTTACAATTATATTTCATGTGTGACCAAATTTTTTTCCAACGTATGCATTGTTTTGAGTCATTGTCTTCATTTCTAAAGTAAATCTTCTTACTACATATTTAATTTCACAATCATTTACGATTATATTTCATGTGAGATCAAATTTTTTTCCAACGTGTGCATTGTTTTGAGTCATTGTCTTCCTTTCTAAAGTAAATTTTATATCTTACTACTTCTTCTTTTATTTCTCAATCATTTACGATTATAGTTCATGTGTGACCAAACTTTTTTCTGATGTGTGCATTGTTGAGTCATTGTCTACCTTTCTAAAGTAAACCTTATATGTTACTACTTCTTCAATTTCTCATTCATTTAAGATCATATTTCATGTGTGACCAAATTACAATTTTATATGATTATTTTAATACAATTGTTTTATATCATATTGTTCTTCATACATTTAAATTTAGCATTTTTATTTACAAATATATTTAAAATAATTATACATATTGTATCAAATAAATTGCCTCGGGTTAGAACATGAGTATCTTACTAATATACTAAAATCTAATATTATCAAATAATAAATCAACTATGTTTAAAATATAATAAATAAATAAAATATTAAATGAATAAATAATATTAAAAATTTAAAATCCAGGAAATAGAATTCTTGTACTTAATCACTAATTTAGATTATTATAGTTAATCATATTGTTCTATCATAATTTTAATAAAAACAAAAAAAAATACATCTATCTCCTCTGAAATCTATTAATTAAAATGATAGTGACATCCTTTTTAATTTTAAAAAATACATTAATTTCTTATGAAATTTGTTAAAAAGACACTAACATCTCCCATAATTTTACATGACAGTCAAAATTCATACATATGACATTTACCTGTGAGATATTTTACTTGTCACTAAAAATTTTTGTTGATTTATGTAAGCTTAAAAAATATTAGTGCATATTTAAAATTAAACGAACTTCAAGAGAGGTGTGTAATTTCCCCTAAAAATTATAGTGTGTTTTCAACAAAATCAAATTACACAGGTTTAAGTCAAACTCGAGCGGTTTGAATTATGCAATTAAGTTTATTGTTAAACTTATTTAGAATATTAAAAGTATGGTTTCTTGAATATTTTTTCCTTCCCTTTAGTTTTGAATAAAATGTCAGATATTTTTCTACAGATTAATTGTTGACTTTACACTATATGTTTTTGTATGTATTATATTTTTCTTTTTCCCAGGGGAAGTTGGAATAGAAAGACATATACAAAAAAGCCTACTACTGCCTGAGGAGTGTAAAACTATGTCAACAGCATGTGCAAGAAGTCACATCCAGATTTTGAAATGTTGGTCGTGACTGACTGAAGCCACCAATCCAGTAACATTGGATACTGCCAAGGCAGATACAAGCTTGTCGTGTCCACGCAGAAACATTACATTTCTCGCTATATAATCCCACAGCATAAGAGTCTGAATTAAAAAGAAAGATAATGAATGCTCTATTGGTCCAAAGTAAGAATAGAATGTAATATTCTTTTATATAGTAATAATAGGATGACAACAGATAACTTACCTTGTCGCGGCTAAGGACCAGAACATGATAAATGGGATGAAAAACACAGCTCTTGAATTTGTCATCAGACCCAGCTGTATTCAGTTCATGAATACACACCTCACTGTCATTGGCTCCAATGTCCCAGATTCTCACGAGATCATCACTAACAGAGGCCAGATATCTGCCAGACGAGTGCCAGCACACAGAATGAACAATGCTATTGTGGCCCTAAAATTGATAAATAATGGATGGTTTAGAGCTCAATGCATAGAGGATGAAAAAGATAGGAAGAGATAGAAAAAGATGGCATTGTTGGATATCACTTTGATGTTGGAAGTGTATTTACTATTTACTGTTTGTACTCATTTAAATCTAAGAAAAAGAAACCAACTGATATAAACTTATTTTTTTAGGGAATGACAAAATAATCAAATGTTGTTTAGTCTATCGTTACAAATAAGAAAAATACAGCGTTATTTGAGGTCAATTAAAACTTAAGCATAATTCACAAATACACGTACGCAAACACTAAATTCACAGCTCACCTCCAATTTAATTCTGCAACTCAGAGTTTCTGCGTCAAGAATGAGTATTAGATTATTTACTGCTGCTGCAAGAAGCTTTCCCAAACCAGGTTGAAATCTCACCTGAGTTGCACCACCCTGATAAAGTAATGGAAAATTTAAATTTATTTGCAAACAATATATAAGTACGTTAAGATCGGCTTCATAGCATGTGTTTGAGATTTCCTACCTCAAAAACCCCAACACAACTACCATTTTCAATACTCCAATATCTTATTTCCCTTTTATCACAAGAGCAAATAAGGTCATCTTTATTTGGGTGAAAGTCTAGTGACATCACAGTTCTTGTATGCCCCATAAATGTCCGAATAGAATGAGTAGGCTGCAAAGGGTAACAAAAATTCATTAATATGATAAAAGATATAAACTCGTTTAGTAAAAAGAATATCTTAACTTATATAAGAAAAAACAGTGTGATGCACCCTAAGACCAATGAAATAACAAATCGTAGGAATTAAATCTGAAGCTGATCCCGGGGGTATTTTAAGGTTACTCCACTTTCAACATTAATATCAACAGAGTCAACTTTGCCACTGAGTTGCATAACTGATGCTAAGCAAACAGCATGCACAGAGAGGAAATGTAAGAACCAACTACAAGTTGATTTATTGACTAAATCTAGTAACAGAAAGCACTGTCAAGCCCCTCTATCTTTGAAATTTATCCTCTACTTTCAATCATTTATAATCAAACGCTTACTCATATTAATCAAATACATTTTTCGTATCAGTTTATTAATGATAATAATAGACTATAGTCCCTTGCTGAAATAATGAAATTTTAATAGCAGACGGGAAGAGAAGGTTATAAAAGAAACAAAAGGTAATTGACAAAAGAGGGTGTGAATGTGATTAATGCATTAAGACATCTAAGGAGTGGATTAGACAGGGTTACAGACTTACAGTTTTCATGGCAGAGATTTATAGCTTAAAAGTAAAAGCATAATTATTTCTCAATATCTTTATTGAAATCCAAATAGGTTTATAATTACTTAAAAATTGAATTTGAATCATGAAAATCTAGACTTACATTATTAACACTCCAAACCTTTACAGTTTTGTCAGCTGAGGACGTAGCAACAAACAACATGCTTGGGGAAAATCTAACATCAGTTATCCATTTAGTGTGCCCGTGAAATGTAGATTTCAGGTTAAACGATTCTGTGCACCAAAGAGAAGCCTGCACCACATAGCAGGTTAACAAATACAAATCAATAAACAAAATTTTCTTTAACCAAATCATTAAATGTAACAATATTGCGAAATAGCGATAATTTCATAATTAAAGTTGGATTGCCCAGAATATACCTTGTTATCATGACCACCCGTAACAAGTAGTTTTCCATCCAAGGAGAAGTGACAACAATTAACTTTATGTGAACTAGCCATTCCATGCTTGATCTCCATAAATGAGAATCCTAATGAAAAGCAGACCATTCAAATTTGAAAGCTTATGCTTTTCCATATAGTTATATAAAAATTCCATTCCATCAAGTTTCTATTGAATTGGGATATTTTAGGAAGGGAGAAGGGATAGTGAATAATTCACAACAATCAGATTTATCATACCTTTGTCAACTTGTCCTTTTTGGTCTGCATCAGCAAGAGATGATAATGCCTCAAAATTGTCACCCACAGATATATCACTCTTGTGATGATCCATATCATCCTGCCAAATAGCAATTACCTTGAGGTCAAGTAGATTCCTAGAATATTCCATGTTCAAGAAATCTTATATGCCAACTGTATTAAGGTAGTGACAATCACAAAGATGAACATAACACAAAAGTGCTGATATATTTACTCTTAAAAGTAAAGATTTCCGTGTTTTCTGTGGTGGTGGTGGTGGGGAGAAGGGACATGATCATTATGCATGCTAATACTTACAAATAAAAAGTAGTTTTTCAAGGCCTTTTTGCAATGTTAATAAAGAACATTTCATTCTACAGAATATAAAAACAAAAGTTTACAACAAGAACATGGTGCAATGTTCGGATGGAACAATCGGGCAATGTATACAAGTAGTGGTTTTAAGAAATTGATTGAACAATAGTCACTAACCAATTGAGTCTGTGTTGACGCAGGTGAGCTCAAATCATACTGTTGCCAAGTTGGCAGTGGTGTCTGCATTGATGGTTGTGAACAAAAAGACTGTCCTGTTGTGTTTGCAGTTCCAGAGATATTGGCAAGATAAGGCAATTGAGAGAAACCAATTGGTGCAGGTGTTACAATATTGGGAATTGAATCAGCAACATAATTTGATTGGCCATCTTTCCCTGGAACAATATTTTGATTATTTAGAAGCACCCTTAGTCTTTTGCCAACAAAACCACAGAGAAACAGATTAACCAAATCCTGTTGTGCCTGAAGCATAAGTTGCTGCTGTGGTGAAAATTGATTGGAAGATTGTGAACACAGCGTCAAATTATCCTCCTGGAGAAGTTCTGAGTGGAGCTGATCCAGACCCTAAAATAATTGAGATCTAATCAGAAATAGGATTGCTCACCCAGTGGAAAGAACTTTGATGCACCTAAGTTACTTAGACGGATATAAGAAAAAGTGAATATGAGAAAAATAGCTTATATTCTGTTATTTTGCCACTTCCTCACAGATGAATTTAAAGCACAATTAATTAATAAAGTAAAGTATCATGGTTCTATATCACAGCTGATTTTTGGTAACTTTCACTTCACAGTGACTTCTTGTATTAAAAGTTAAGTCTCTACAACAGAAGCCAACTGTGTAGTTGTTCTGCACAAGCCAGGTAATGTCCCTTTCCTGTTATGATCAAGTTTGCTTCATTGGCATACTATTATTAAAAATGATGTAGACGCCACATAATGTTCCTTTATCATTACGAGAAAATTTACTTCGTTAGTGTATGCCATTTTCTAAGAAAAGAGCCCAACATTCAACTTTAAAATACATGCATGGACAAAGCTAAAAAATCTCAATGTTATCTATCAAGCGTAGAACACAATTTATGTAAACCAATACAGTAGCCACACTGCACCACTAAATGTCATTTCCTTTAAAATATCCAGCTTTCTCATTTGAACTTAGGAAATATCCCACTAAACAACAGAGAGAGAAAATCAGTAAGTTAGGAAGAATTAAGCCAAAGTCTTACTGCTAAAGGCCGCCTTTTCCGTGTTAAATTGCCCCCACCTTGATTCAAACATAAAGTGAGTTGTTAAGAAAAATCAAATGCATATCCTAAAATTATGCCATTGCAATCTAATGCAGATAAAAGAAACATTATTTGAGAGGTGCAAGGCATATAAATCAACTGTGCACCAAAGCAGGGAATGTGAAGTATTTCAAGAATGGAAGAAAGCAATAAATAAGGTGATAGAACAAGGCAACTCCCTATCAATCTAGTCTATGTTAGGAGAAACCAAATAAAGAGAAAAGAGGAAGAAAAAGAAATATATATATATATATATATATATATATATATATATATATATATATATATATATATGTCACAAGTGACAGTTGTGAGTCACAACTGTCAGGGGTTATACCTGGAGAGTATTAATAGGAGAGTTTGACCAATGAGTTCATTGATTTTCAACAATAAAGGTTTGGACCTTCCTCCTTTAATTACAACTCACATGGTAAAAAAAAACTGTAAAAACATTTGATATGTTGGGGAGCGGTTTTGAATCCTCAATTCCCCACTTCTCAACACTTAGTGCGCGTGAGTTTTGCTTCAAGGAGGGAATGTTCCGTATGTACTTTACTTTGAGAGTTAAAATAAGTTTCTAGTTGTATCATAAGGTGTTCATTCCAACAGCTTAAAGTAGCTTCGAAGCATTTGTAAGTAACCATGTGCAATTAATAACAGTTACATTGTAACTCTTTACAACCAAAGATATTATGAATGATGACTTTAAGGCAACAACAAATAAATTCAGTAGCATAAACATCCCAGAAAAGGGACTGAAAATTTGTTGGAGACTGAAAATAATGAAGCCAATTTACAATTGTACAACTGAATATCTTTAAAAGATACCTTATTGAACATACCGAGTCCGCATATTGAAAAACTTAACATGTAATAAAAGTAAACTGGGTATTGTCAAATTCAACATGAAACTACAAAACCAGTACCATGATTAATATAGATAAATGTGCGGGGGCCCTTCATTGGACTCATATTACTGGCCATGCCCTGTGTCAGGACAAAAAACGGTAAATACAGAAGATCGTTGTGAATTTATATGGGGATAACACACAAATCAAGAAAAAATTATGTTTATGATTACTTGTATAGACCCTGGAAGTTGCTGGTTCTGATTTAGATCTTGTTGAAGATTCTCTTTTAAAATGCTAAATGCACTGCGGAATGTTTGTCTGTCAACAGAATTTGACAGCTTGCAAATTCAGCTCCGAATGAGATAAGCATCATGAACTAGATAACATGAATAATTAATAATCTCATCAAAGACATATGTTTAGTTGGCACCTTGAAGTCTGTCTGGCAGACATTGCTGTTATAGTGTTAAACAAGGCACAATGCTTGATCGGAATCTGACCAGTGTTATTAGTTTTCATTTTCTGTATAAACAATATAATGCTGTGATGCTAATCGTATAAAAACAACAGGACTTATATTAGAATCTTCGAACAGATGTAATACCTTAATTCTCATGCCATCTAAAGTATTTCCGTGGAGGGGAGGCTTCAACATGTCCCTATTTCGTTTTGTTGCATTGGAAATTACCTGGTTCTGCCTCACCAAAGGACCATTCTTTATGGGACAGAGAACATTGTGATTAAAAACTTGAGCTTCAGCCCCATATTGCTGCTTCTGAGCAGGTCTACGTGATACGAACAGGACTCTCCTTTTCTCTTCTTGCTTCCGCATTCCCTGAGCCTTAATTTGTCGGAAAGTTCATTTTCAAATTCATACTGAGCTAATAATTCATGATCTATGGTCTATACAAAGGAATCAATCTAGGAAACAAAAACAAAAAATCAAATAGGTCTATTAAAAGGGGACGAACGCACCTTAAGGTAAGACGCCGCTGATTCTGAGTGTGACAGACCTCTCTTAGCCATAAATAACTCCCAAAAAACAGACCACCACTCAAAGAGAAAACCATCAGGTGCATACCTAACTGGAGAATATAGCCAAAATTAGAACTCAAATTCAACAAACTAGAAGAGCATTTTCATTTTGCATATACTAAATTCATTTCCCCTAAACATGCTCATATTAATAAATCTTACCAACATTGGGAACAACCGCAGCTTCGTCGTGAAAAAATCTCGCAGTTTCATACAATTGATTCTTCACGAGGTAATCGTAGATATAAGCATCTAACCTATTTCCAATCCCAAAAAATAGCTAGTTAGAATAACGATATTCAAAAATAGCAATTCTGCATTTGATTAACCCGATTAATCGATAATAGCAACTAGCAAGACTCGAAGAACTTCGAGAACAGGAATAATCAAACGAAACAAAAACTTCAGTATAAAAAACTCATGGAAAAAGGATCCGTAGCATGTATGATGAAGAAAGAACAAATGAAAAATGGCGGCAAAATAAGCGATTAAAGTGATTGCGGCAAAATAAGCGATTAAAGTGATTATAGCAAAATAAGCCATTAAAAAAAGTGATTATTACGCACATTTTATCAGTTTCATCACATTTGGATTGAGACATGCTTCGAGAGCTTTTGAGAGAAAATGGCTTTTCCCGCTACAAAGTGACTTTTTCTGAAACTAAAACAACCTGAAAATTTGTTTATATATGCGGCGCGTTTTATGGCCTTTGATTTATTAAAGTAGAAAAGTTAATATATTTGTCTTTAATTAATTATTTGTTGATTAAAATGGAAAAGCTTTTAAATTGATTTTCCTTTTACCTCTTTTTAAACACGCTTCTTAAAAGGATTTTTATGATACTCTATAATAATAATAGTAATGAGCTTTTCTTTTGGTAAATTTTTTGTGTTTATTGATGGCACATTCTTGTTTCTCACGCAACGCAATATTAGTGGGTATGCCGGAAATGTTTGGATTTTCGTCACTTTTGTGTGACAGTGAGTCTTGTTGGTAACATCAATCAAATTAAATTCTTACTCTATTTTTTAGGACCTATAATAGAGGATTTTTTTTTTTCATCTTATAATTTTATAGTGTATCACATAAAGTTATAAAAATATTTTTAAAAATCAGAAATATGTTTTTAGAATGCACTAAGATTTGATAAAATGTAGGTTGAAATCGAATGGAGTGGAAATACAATATCAGTTACAATTGGAACTATAATTCTGATTTTGTTTGTGTCTGATGTATGGTGCGCACCATAAATGTATTTATGGTTTCTAAGGGGTATTATAGGAATTACATAGGATTTTTTTTTCACTATAGGATGGAAAAAGAAATTCTCTCATTTTATGATCAATTATAGGCATGGCAAAAAAAATTCTGCTTCCGCCCGATTCTGGTGTCTTCGCCCCAAAATTAACGGAGAAAACCCGATTTTATTGAGAGCGGTACAGGGACGGAGAAAACTCGTTTTTTATTTACGGGGTGGGACGAGAGATACTAGTACTCACCCCGCACTCACCCGTGCCCCGCCCCACCTATTAAATTTAATTTATTTCTTTTATTTTTAATAATTTTATTACTCATTTATACTTCTTAATCTTTATTAAGATTATTATTTATTTATTTTATTTTAATTATTGATTTTTATTGTTATTGAAAAATTATATATTTTTAAAAAATATATTTTATGCGGGTGGAGGCGAGGCGGCGAGGATAAATCTGGTCCTCGTTAGGGACGGGGGCAGGGACTAATTATTAGTCCTATCTGGGTTTGGAGGCAGGAGCAGGTCTAGGTTTACTTAAACTCGCATATGTCCCGTCCTATTGCGATGTCTAATCAATTAAATGTTTGCTTGTGGTATGAAATTACAATTTACATGATGATGGTGAAATAATTACTACCATCATTTTGAGTTTGAATTTGAAATTTGTCACTTTTAACAATGTTTAAAATTGAATTGGATCGGTCAGTTCAACCGATTGGACCGAGAATTGGAAATGATTTTGATCTGACTAGCTTTGCAAAATTGTTTATGGCCTAATCACTTGAACCAGTTGGACCAAAAACGGGATATGAATCTAATCCGATCAGCCTTGCAAAACTGCTTGTGGGCTAAAATTTGTTTAAAACTAAAAACTAGATTAAACCATCCTAACTCCTTTGAACTAAAGAATTGAAGTAAGTTATGTGAAACTAATTGGTCCTAAGAAATGTATGAAGTCGATCAATATGTTTGCTTTTACCATGATTCATTGGATGATTAGCTAGATCAATTGAAAATTTGTTATCAACCAATAGCTTGATCTTCAATTCTTCAGTGATATTTAATTCTTCTAATAACACTTTCATCCAAAGTGTTTGACAAACTACATATGAGGATGTTACATCTTCCTTCGTCCTCTTGATCTTTCTTCTTGAAGTTTCAACATCTTCCTTCTACAGAGCAATCCTCGTGTTCATCAAGTATGGTGGCATCCAAAGCCATTCAATCTGCCATTCAACAACAAGCCACCGCGGTAATCGGTGAAGATGTTAAGCTTCCTCCTCCTCAGATAGAAGGTGGTCTAGTTCTTATGGAGTCTCCTTCAAAACCTACGCAATAATATCATGTCCCACAAAGAGTTAGTTAATGAGCATTTCAATCTCTCTCGTTCTTAGGATTTACAGAACAAACTCACTAAAGTGAACCATTGCATCAACTTCCTCTACTGCCTTTCATTCCTTGACGGGAAATGCCCATAGCCTTCAACTGTTGTAGGTCAATCTTAAAGTACAATGAGCCACTAACTTTGTAAACATTGTTTATAATCTAGTGCACCAACAAAATTCCTAATTCATAATATAGAGGTCATTTAGAATTGAAGAAAGCTTGCACCATGTGACGTTAAGGAATATCATTGTACGAGAAGTGACATCTCAGGGAAATCAAGTCATTGTAGCTAAGTTGGTCTCCATTAAAATAGCAACACCATAAGGAGAATTCCTAAGTTCACTAGCCCTGAACTTGCATCGAAGACACAAAACCCCTTTGCCAAATCTTGAAGAAGGGGGGGGGGGGGGGGGGGGGGGGGGGGACGACCATACTCTCTTTAAAGTTTGTCGTCCACGTCATTCACCATCTCGACATCCTCGAAAGAGAGAAATGTACAACAAAGACGTTCCATTTCATGAGCGGAAAAAGAACTTGTTGTCCATTCGCGTCCTCGATAGCAGGTTGTGTAACGCCCGTTAATTTAATTAATTATTCAATTAAATATTTTCGAAATATTCATTGAAGTTGTGAGATGTTGTGAATTGTTGGCATAAGTTGCTAGATTATTACTAGTTAATTAATTAGTTGATTAATAATAGTAATAATACTAGAATTAGTAGAATAATAGAATAATTGTGTTGGGCATATTTTAATGGTTAGAAGTAGAGATATGGGGTGTGTTGTTAAGCCCACTAAGAATAATAATATTGTGAGGTTTTATTTAAATAAAGAATAGGGTTAATTGATAAGGAGTGGGAAATTGATTGTGAGAAGTTGCAGAGAAGAGGAATAGGGAGAAGAGGCAAAGCAAGGTTTTCGATCGGAGAGTTATAGAGCGACCTTCAATCCAAGATAAGGGTGGAGTTCTTACTCTATAATGGGAGTCATGATGAATATTGTGTAGGGATTGGTTGTGTGAATAATTATTGTTGTGCGTGAAATTATTGTTGTTTTTGAATTTCATGTTACCACTGTCATAATTTCTAATAACGTTGCAGTAATTCCATCGATGAATGAAAGGTTGGAAATTAACCCATGGTTGGTGTCGTTGTTATATTGTTGTGTTAATCAATATTTTTTGGTCTGAGATTTGTAATCGAAGGAAATTTTGGAAATTTTTGCGTTAGTATCAGTAACATACTGAAGTCTGTGAGGGGCTGGAAGACACGTTGTGCCGAGCGGCACAAGGATGCAAGGTGTGCCAAGGGGCATGGTGTGTTCCGACCGACACAGAGGCATAGGGGGGAGGTACCGAGCGGCATGGCCATTGTGCCAATGGGCACATGTCTTTATTAATTCTTTTCTTTTGTTCTTGTGCATGTTGAGGGGCACATATTTCTTTCTTATTCCTTAACGCTCATGTGCATGCTAATTGGTTAATCATTTTCATTAACATTCTCAGTATAATAATTAGAGTTTTTAAGGTAATATGTCCTTAAATGATTAATGGATTACTAGTAAATATAAGTTAGTAGCAGGAGAGATAATAGAATTAATGATTAGCAGAAAATTAAAGATTATCAGTAGAAGTAATTTAGTAGAACTTTCAATAGCAGTATTAGTAATAGATTAACAGGAGAACAAGTTAGTAGCTAGTAACAAAGATGAAATAATTAATAAGTGACTAGCAGTAAATCTTATGGAATTGGAGATAGTAGTATAAAATCGAAAACATTAGTATTTTAGCATAAAACTATTTAGCGGATATAGTCGAATTTCCCGAATAATTACGTAGGACGTTGTAGTATATTTAGGTTAATACGGTGTATTGTATACTTTGTTATAATTTGAGAATTGGCAGGTGGTGATGAATTTTGTTGAGATGCCTCTAACTATTGGCAAATATTAAGTTGTAGGCTTATGACCAATGTTGAATTGTATTGAGTTATTGTTGAATTATTGTTGTTGTTGTTGTTACTACATTCATATTGTTGTCACATATATAGCATATCAAGTTGGGAGCTCATGCTCGGTAAGTTAGCCTGGATTGGCAAATATAAAGTTAAAGGCTTATGTCTTGTTGATGCCTCTATTAATTGGAAGATTATTAAGTTTGGAGTTTTTCTCTGTTGGTACCACTGCATGTGTATAAAAACAAGTCACATTTCATGTTGTATCCTGAGTTGTTGTGTGGGTGAATTGATTATGTTAAATATTGTTAAAGAGTTGCGAAGTGGTGATTTTGTATGAACTGATTCTACTATATTATTTATCATGCGTCCTATTTTATTGTTCGATATCTCACCCCTTTTGTTTGAATGTTACCCCTATGTTGGTAACGTGTAGGTAACCCAGAGTGAAGGTTGTTTACCTTCAGTAGTTCGAGTCAGTGTCGTTGCTCTGATACATAACACTCGGGGGGATGAATGTTTGTTGCTTTATTGTTGTAATTACTTCTGTTGCTGAATTTTAAATTGATTTACTAAGTATTTTTTTGTTTCTAAAGTTGTTTTCAGTTGGACAAAGATGTTATGTTATTTGAATTGAAAATTGTGATTCCGCTGCTTAATTATAAAAGTTGTTTTAATCTAAAGACTAAATTATGTGGTTAATGGTTCATCCAAGTTTAAGTGTTATGTATTTGTTTTACATGCGATTAAATGAAGGTGTTTTTAAGTAGTAAGTGTAGCATCCTATTTGCATGTCGAAATTTTGCAACTCTGATTTTAATATTATTCGTCGGGTAGAAATGGGGTGTTACATTAGTGGTATCAGAGCATGTCAGTCCGTTCAACCAAGTTGTCGAGTCGTAGTTTGTTTAACAAATCGAGTATTGTTAATTTGAATTATAACTGTTATTTGTGTTGAGATTAGAAGTTTGAGATGGCTGGAAAGAATGACGCTGCAATTGCTGCTG